CAAACTGCAGACTCAGTGTATTTTTTCCTAGATCAGGACTTAACTATCCTTCCAGTTCTGGCGTTACAGCAGTGAAAATAAACAAACACAACAAAATGGATCACAACAGGCAACACCTAGCTTTTGTCCATGTGTACTACAGCTGGTGGTCACAGCAACACAGCCAAAACACAATATGACAGTTCAGTCCAATAAAATCTTTGCAATGGGCAGATTGTGGCAAAGGGGGTACATGCTTATGTAATGTTTTCCACAAAGTGATGGCAATCTGCATCAACCAAGGGAACTTGGGAAACTATACAAGTTATTGAGCTAGTCTTACTTCTTAAGTTAAATATTTCTTGTGGGAGTTGGGGGAGAATACCTTAAAACAGGAGACATAGTTATACTGATATGTTTTAAAAAAAAAAAAAGTGAGAGTGAGGAATTCAACTGATATTAAAGCTAAACTAATTAACCTACTTCTGAAATAGAAAGAACTGAAATACTATACTATGCAATGACTCGCATGCAATGAGGTAGCTTAACCAACTCCTCAATGCTACAAAAAGAAAGATAGTCAACTAAGGTTGCTATGTTTATTTACTGATATGATGAGAGCTGTTCCCCAATCCCAACAATAGCACCTGCTGTCATGCCATAAGTGCAAGGCAGAATGTGCAATTTTGGGATTGGGGGATCAGATCCAAATTGTGCCATTACTACTTGCCAGTACACGGGGAGCCCCAGATCATGATCCCTCTGCACTGCCAAGTTGAAAGATAAGTCTGGGACCAACAACCAGCTGACTGCTGGTCCCAGCTCTGGAATCATTTCAGAGTCTTGAACTGGCTCCAGTGAAATTCTGGGAGCCGAGGCTGACAATAAGCCTATTTTTGGTCCTAGCCTTGGGACCACACCACAGCTGGTGGAGACTCCAGTGTGGTCCTGGGGCTGGGGAAGCTATGCATGCAGCATCAATTTAAGACACAATGGAAGCCAGCCACAACATTATTAGACATATTTTGTAGAATAATTAATTGTGTGGCTGGTTCCACATTTGGGGCACTGTTAATTGCCTGAACATGTGACTGGGTTACTAGTTAAGGCACAATTAACAGGTCAGTTGCATCTTAAGTGGAATGTCTGCCACAGACTTAAGTGGAAGCGTTTCTTTTCCAGGAAATAACACCTCAGTCCAAAGAACAATTACAGAGAAGTGCTTAAGCCCATAGTCATGGGCAGCAGAAGTCATCTACCCCAAAAAAGCAGAGAGAGAGAGAGAGAACACAGGCCAAAGTGGCTAAGGAAAAAGACATCCTGACCTTTTGACTAAGCCTTCCTATGAATGCATATTTAAACTTTTAGGATGTCTATACATGAGCGCCAAGGCTGCTCTGACATGCTGGAATTCCAGCTTGTTGGAGCAGACTCGATTAATCAAGTCAATTGGAGCGTGGCAACTGCCATGCTCTAGCAGCCTCCTGCATCTCGTGTATCAGTGCCCTTGCGCTTAAAAATCGCAGCAGGGTGCTTGAACTAAAACTCATTGAAAGAGCTCTTGGTCAAGCATCCCTGCTGCCATTTTTAAGTTCAGGGATGCTGATACAGAAGACATGGTGGCACTTTAATTAGAGCAGCTCTTGAAGCCGCCCTAATAAAAGCACTGCCCCTGCCGCCCACCCTGCAGCACGTATAAAAGTGCCCTTAGTTTTTAGCAATCATTTATACCACCGCCACTAGAAAGAATGGTGGTACAGTCTAAGACACATACCCAAAACATACACAAAAATACTACAGGGCACTTTTAATAGCTGGGAAATGCACACTAAACCTGACCTTGCACCATGTTATCTGCTGTTTATAAGACTTTTATACCTCATACATATTTCTCTTATATAGCCATTTTCATGCATAGATCTCAAAGACAGTCAGTTTAATTACTGTCATCTAACATGAGCAAACTGAGATACCTGAAAGACCTTGTCCAAATTACCAAATGGACCAGTGGCAGAGCCAGCTGTAGAATCCATATTTCCCCCGAGTCCAAGTCCAGTGTCTAGTCCATTAGGCCAAACTGACTCGTACAGTACAAATAAAGCCTTGTGATAAGCAGCCCTTCACAGCATCATGCAGACAATTTTGCATACAGACTAAAACTGCCAAGTAAAGCAAGAGACAGTTGCCATACTGTGAGATTTCCAAGAGATTCTCTTTCACGGAACAAGGAGCTACATTTACAACTATATTAACTGGCATAACTGAATAATAATTCAAAAGTTTATTTTGTGTCTAGTATGGGTATCCTGCTGTGAAAGATTTTTTTTAAACAACTTTATGATCAATAAGTAAACAAAAAAAATCGTACCAAATAAATGCCAAATCCTAGTATTAGCTGTACTTTGTGTTTTGAAGCACCACACTTAACGAGAATCAGATAAAATGAGGATGGTGTCAATGCCCCAATGAGAGCCCATTTCTACCACACTATTCAGAGATGCTCCTGAGACATCTTCAATTAATAGGTGCTTGAACATGTCCTGCAACCTCCAACTCCAGGACCCGTTTCTGCCAAATCAACCTATTTGTATTGAGAGAAGACAGCTACAGAGTTCTTCATTAAGGAAAACTAAATAAAAGCTCTACTTTTACTCGGTGCTTTCTTCTATGGTGTACATTTATTGGAGAAAGGGTGATGTTACTTAGTATTTCCCACATAGGCAGTTTTAAGCTTCATCTTGGAAAACTGTTTTGCATGGATGAACTTGTGCACTGATGCAGTCTGAATGAAATTAAGGGGCTGTGCAGAACAACTTGCAGAAGCAAAATCTTTAGCAAAGTCTAGAATCAGCAAATTATTCCTGCAACCTAAAACAGTTTAAAGTAATGATCTCTAAAATGTGATTAAAGTATCTTTAAATAAGAAGTGCAACTCATTTACTGATATCTGAACAATAGCTGCCACTATACTTCCAGTTATAGATATTTTGCAATGTAATGACAAAAGAAAGTTATCAGTTTAGAAGAAAAGTAAAATGATTATTTTCAGAATCCATCTGCAAGCTTTTATGCTGCCAATATATTATACACAACAGAACGCTAATGCAGAAACAGTTAAGTCTCCTGAACAGGAGGCACAATAGCATGCAAGACATGGGCCAAAAGAATTCCATTTATAAAAGATCCTTGTATCAAATGCCAGAACAACGAGCTAAATATGCCCCCCATCTGTGTTCAGGACCAATGAGCTACAGAACTTAATTTGTAATTGAAACAATGATCTAACAGAAAAGACAAACACTTGCCATACTTGTAAGTTATAAATTTGCATACTGGTAAATTTTGTAACCGGAATTAGTTAACAGGAAGCATGCTTGCTTGTTAGAAACCTTTACAAACTTCAGAAGGCATATATTTCTAGTATGTACAAAATATAACAAGTCAAAAGACTACAGTACATTCTTCAATTAATTTTCTTCTCTTATTGTTTCATGCTTTTTGTGGATCAGAGAAACAAATGTGGATGTTTACCAATTTCAATAGGATCTCTCTGCTTTCAGTCTATTAAGAGACCTCACACAAAGTGAGAAGTTTGTTTTGTTTTTTGTTTAAGTGAAACAATGCAGTCTGGCTTCTGTGCAACTTGTGTGTACACAATTCTTTTAGGATTTTTTTCTGAGGGTTTGTAAACTATAGAAAAAGGTTTATGAAATCAGATACTAAAGAAAGATAAATCGATTAATAAATTATTTTTGTACAGTTTAAAAGCCATTTTCCATTGCACTTGTACAAGGGATAATAGGTACTTGTTATAGAATCAGTTTCTTAAAGGCAGTTAAGAGTACTTTTAGATATAATGCCTGCTTCCGAATCAATTTTACTATTTTTACCATGTCTTACATAACTTTGTTCCTGCATTTAAAAAAAAGCCACACCCAGAGGGAACTAAGACACTGACTATACATAATTTTTAATCAAAAAGCACAAAATGAAGAAAGGAAAAACAATCTTTCAATTTACAGAGTTACAGCAGTCAAGATGACACATTCACCGATTACTGGAAAACGAGTGAGAACAAATTAATTTTTTCTTGGATTGTCTAATTGCATTTCATTGTTCAACTTAGAAATGAGTTTATATTCAGGATAAGGCAAGGTAATATATTAAGGGGGATAAAACCCTCTCTATTACCTACTTACAGTGGTTTAAGAGCCCTGCAAGCAGTGATGGTAACAGACCCACAGGTAACAGTGGACTGTGAAATGGGGTAGCAAAGGATCAGTACATTTTACAAGTTCTCCATTTAACACAACAGGAAAAAAAATAAAGAAACCCGCCAGAAAAATAATATAGCTGGTGGAACAGAACTGTTCTCTTTCCCACTCTTAATTTTCCTCCTCTAGTCCAGCCCTCACCCCTCAGTCAGGAAGGGTTTTGTTCTATGCTCTATGTACCTCACCACCACAACCTTTACATACCCAGAAGTCAAACCCTGGTCCCTTTGGCAATGCACAAGATTATCCAAGGAGCGCTGAATCCTTCCAGAACCCTTAAGAAAAGCAAAGCAATCCAACAGATATGTGCATCTATTGCATACTTAAAGCTTTAATTGTTTCACCCTGGCTTTCCCTGTCCACATGAGGCCTGGTTCATTACCCATTCAGTCTGCCTCATCATCACATGGTTTTTCTAGCCAAGGGTGAAGAGCAGCTGTGCAACCATCAGCTGCATAGAAGCACTGACATCAGGAGTCAGACAAAAAACTAGAATCCTTGGTTCCCAAATACTCTTTATTAGACCAACTGGGAAACTGCAAGAAAACTGCCCTTTTCTACAAGCTTTTGGGATCAAAGTCCCTTTATCAGGCTCTGGGAAAAGTATAGATGGTACAAGCTGGTAAAAAAGCATCATTTTGGAACCAAGAGTTCTAGTCCTTTGTAGAAGATCTCAAATTTTAGCTGATTTTGGATTCGAGACATCAGGAGTGGCACTTGTAAAGGGCTCACACATGACTAGTTTACCATCCCATCCCCACTGCGACCATCCCATCTCCACTGCTCCTGGCCCCATGGTTACTCAGACGGGAGGCAGGCACGCCACAGTGCTGCATCTCCATCGCACCTCAAGTGGTATCATCAGAATAATCCATTCACTGAGACTTTCCGAATAAAGGTGGAGAACTAGACACGTGGTTTTCGACCACAAAGACCCTAGGACAACCACCCACAAGAGCGTCAACTGCACCGCCCTACTGAGAGTGCAAAACACCGCGAAGCTGGAGGATGGCGACCCTCTGCCGGGTGCGCCTCGAGAGCCTCTTGAGGGTGCTCGGAGCGCCGCGAGGGGCGGACACAGGATTCACTCGGCCAAGCCAGAGGTTTCTACTAGACATTTGCAGCTGGGGTTTCTCCAAGCTCTTTGCAACAGAAGAACAGCTCCGGTCATTTCTAAAGCCAAAACCCTCCAGGGTGAACCGAAAGAGGCAGCATTTGCCGAGGGGCCTCGGGTCTCTGCAGGGGGCTCCTTGCCTCCGAGGGTTGAGCGGCGGGGCGGCGAGTGGAAGCGCGGGGCCAACACTAACTCAGGGCCGAGGCTTCCTTGTGGGGCCCCCCATGCAGCAGTCATGAAGCGTTCAACGCC